AATCTAATAGTACGCATAAAGTTACCTTCAATTTCTTGAAGATTACCTTTCTTCCCTTCGTTTCCTCGGAGAGCAGTATTACCAGATGTAAGTGTTAAAATTACATGAATAACTCGACGAAGAACATTCCTCCAATACTCTGCTTCTTCAGATATTTGTTTCTCTAAATCTGTATCTAATGTTTTATTTTTTTCCCAATATCTTCGAATTTCTGTTGCATTTATATGTTGAATAGAATTTTCATGTTTAGAAATTTGTTGTGATAAATGTTGCCAGTCGTCAACGCCAGAAATCCATTCATATTTAAAATGCTCGTATTGCCGGTTAGCAAAAAGCCAACAAAATTCACAATATGCTTTATCTAATATTAAAGAATAACATAACCATAGTCGTGGAATTTGGATACCTGTTTTAGTTGTTATATAGTAATAACTAGTAGAAAAACATCTATTAACATGGTTCCTAGGAAATTTGATTGATGGTTTACATGGTCCGAATAACAAAATACTCTTTTTTGATGATGTGCAAACTTCACCTTCAAAATTTCCACGATCAGTTGGATACTTCAAAGTTAAATTTAGGCCACCAAAATCTGAAATATATAATGAAATATATAAGTACCTATAATTTACAACTTATTTGTGCAATATTTATTGTTTTTTTTTTTTTAAAACATTTTTATTTATAAATAAACAAGTAATCAATAAACGTACCTTCTAAACTATCATTCTCTTTTAAAATTTCATTTTGTGGATCATTTTCAACAGCATCTGAACTGTTGGATACAACTGAAAAATAATTAGTAAAAATGTAATTAAAAATTTACACAGTACACAATATAGCTCGCAATATAGATATCTTAATAATGATTATACCTAATAGACTAGTTTTACATTTTTTTTTTTTTAATACATGATATTCTAATAATATAAAATTAAATATATAAGTACCTATAATTTACAACTTATTTGTGCAATATTTATTGTTTTTTTTTTTTAAAAAAACATTTTTATTTATAAATATACAGGTAATCAATACACGTACCTTCTAAACTATCATTCTCTTTTAAAATTTCATTTTGTGGATCATTTTCAACAGCGTCTGAACTGTTGGATACAACTGAAAAATAATTAGTAAAAATATAATTAAAAATTTACACAATACACAATATAGCCTATAGGTACCTATCATAATATTTTTTTTATTTAATAAATTATGTTGTATTATTGTATTAATATTAACTGAAATACATAAGTATACAAGTTAGTAAGTTAATACATAATTCACAACTAATTTGTTCAATGCCTATTGGCTATTTAATGTTGTTTTTTTTTTAAATTAAATTAAAAAATATAATAATACAATCAATAAATGTATATTAAATGTTTTTTATAATATAATTTGAATATTTTTTTAGATATTCACTTAACACTAAGCAATTTACAAAATTCTATTTACTAATATGCCTAATAGATATAATTTACAAATACTTACCAGATTTTTTAATCCACGATTTCATAACATTTGCTGCATTATTATTTTCGTTCTGCTGTTTCAATTTTTTTTTGTGCTTATCCCAGCCACTCATATATGTACGTTTTGACATTTTTAACAAATTTAAAATACTATTCAAAAATCAAACATTATATCAGAAAAAAATCACTTAAAATCACTTTCATAAATCATAATAAAACAATTATTTGTTAGACGGTTAAAATAAATAAATACATCAATAAATTTTACAAGTAAAACCACGTACAGATCAAATGATGAACAACAATCAACAGACAACAATTAAATGACAAATGTATGTTTTCACTTCTACAGATATTGTGATTACTGATTATCATTTATCCGATGTCCCAATATCGTACGTATACAAATTAAAAACCCAAGGGAATGATCTATTTTTATATACGATTAAGCGAGCTCACATTGGTTGAGTAGTTAGTCGCCTGATAACGTAGACCACGGGCCACGGACCCGCATTATTATTATTATATCTTATTATTATTATTGTGTTATAAATATTTAATTCTTCACATTTGTTTTATTTTACTTTTAATTTTAATTTAATTTTCTTCAGCCACAACTTAACAACTAATTTTAACACATCGATTTGGGGGCCTATATCGGATCGGGGCCTTGGGGGCCGATGTTTAATGCACACCTTGCACAGCCGGTAGTTGCGGCACTGGCGACGGCCGGCGCTCGTATCGCACGCGACATCCGCCGCCGCGAGCCCGCCGGGAAAAAAGTAGGGCCGCGCACCGACTATAAATTTACCAAGAAACGCGAATAAGGTCCAAACGGGTCCACCCGAGGCTCCGGAGGGGGGTAAAACTTGAAAATTTTGAAAAAAAATCGTGAAAAAAGGTCAAAACCTCGAAAAGCGATAAGGAGTGATAACGCAGCGACGGCTGCGCCGCCGCGATTTCCCTCCATTCACGTCTATAGCAGTTCGGATTTAGTGCATAGGGAGCGCCCTCGGGTTTCTGTTTTATAGATATAGAAAGAAGAAAGATAGATTTAGTACAAGGCCTTTGCTTATAAGTTATAACACCGAACAATAATTATAATAGTTATAATAATTTTAAAAAAAATATTTAATCGATATTTTCTGCGATCTTCATTGTTATATTAACATAATAACATGACGATAAAAACCTTATTTATCAATTATTTGGTTCGGCGGTAGAGTGCCTTGATACTTGATAGAGAGTGCTCTATCGACTATCACGGCCATACCTAGATATATACAACAACTAGATATCCGTCATTATACTACTAACAGTTGTGACCAATATTGAAATCGGCCGCCATTTACAAAGCAGGCAATGTTTACATTTGTTTTACATTTATTTATTTATACATAATATATACTATGATAATATTATTTTGTAAACATTGCCTGCTTTGTAAATGGCGGCCGACTTCGATGAAAAGAAGGAGACGGCTATCTAGTTGTCGTTTCCACTGTTTCCAGTTCATTATATCTTAGTCCGTGGCATAGACCGTGGGTTCTTGTTACCTGTGATCTGAAGTACGACCCGTTGAAAAACATGGAAACGAATCCGCGCACCAAATTCAGTTTATACTTTATATCACGTGGCACGCACGTCTTAGCTGGTTATAGTGGTTACCTATACGTTTGTTTACCCGGATACTACAACTATATTTTTATAGGTGTACATTAATTTATACTTATGACAATTTACCATTTACTACATTAGCTATAACTTATGTACCTACCCGACTTAGTAGTTATTATTTTTTGCTCATTCTTTGCAAAATATTAGATATTGTTTTTAACCAATAATTACACGTCGTTGCAGATTTTGAATTTCATTAATACCTATGGTTAATTTGTTTAATTTATCAAAGACAATGTATCATTCAAAACAGCAATGAATCGAGTTTTTTCACGTTTCTTAAAGGTATGTAATGTCTATATAATGTATAGTAACATATATGTATATTTTTAACTGGATTGGTTTAAAAAAGTTTTTGATTTAAATGAGTTACATTTAGGTCGTAGTCGTGTCGTCCAACAAATCAAATTTGGATACCAGTGAATTGTAGATGCAAACATGTGGCCACGGAATCTGCTGTGTCTAGATATTTCAATGCCTATATACCTATTATAAACACGGTTGTACCGTTTGTTAATTTGTATACATTGTAAGACACAATTTTTTACATATGTGTCGCAACTTTTTCAACATTCAACAATATTATTTAGTTACGAATTAAAAGTAATTGAGTTACATTTTCAGGTTCTACAAACAGTAAAAGAAGTAAGAGCAACAAGTCTATGTACCACAATACCAGATTTGTACAATAGGTATGTACTACGATTTTTGTAAGTTTTACGAAATGGTTTTTTTTTTAACCAACGTATGATCTTCTTCTTCTTCTTCTTGGGTATTATCGGCCACTAGGACCATCCCGTCAAACAACCAATCCTCCATGACTCTCTGTCAGCTGCTTTTGTTTTCCAATCTGGGCCACCGTTCAGCGATTCCACGTCTTTCTTTATTAAATCTTCCCATCTTAAACGGGGTCGTCCAAGGGGCCTTTTCCCTTTTGGGTTTTCTGTCAATACTACGTGTAGTAGTGGGTTCTGACTACGCCATGCGTGACCCGCCCATTGTAATCTCCTACTCTGGATTATGTTTAATATGTTTGGCTTCTGAAAGAGTTCTTCTAGTTCTTTGTTTTTCCTTATTCTCCATCCCTCAGTTTCCTCGTCTTTTACTGGGCCAAAGATCTTTCTTAGGATTTTCCTTTCAAAAATAATCAGTTTGTTTTCCTCCGTTTTCCTCAATGTCCATGTTTCTGCTCCGTATGTAATTATGGGACGTAACAGTGTAATATATAATTGTAACTTTATATCTCTCGACAGGGATTGGGACCCTAGTATCCTTATGAGTCCGTAAAGACATTTGTTTCCCGATTGGATTCTTGCTGCCACTTCCTTATCAGTTTCATTTTTTTCGGTCAAAACAGAACCTAGATATTTAAATTGTTTGACTCGGTTGAAATCATGGTTGCCAACTCTTAAGGAAGGGTACATTCTGGTACTATCTTTTCTTCCCACCACCATGTATTCTGTTTTGTCTTCGTTTATTTGTAATCCAACCTTCTTAGCTGCCTCCTCCAAACGACCGCATAATGATCTTAATCCATCGTGTGATTTATCCATGAGGACCAAATCGTCTGCATAAGCCAATAATGCCACGGAGGAACCTTGTAGTGGCATCCCCTCCTGGGGTCCAATATTAGTTTCCCTGATAACCTTTTCTAATACTAGATTGAAAAGAACAGGTGACATTGAGTCCCCCTGTCTTAGTCCTGAATTCACACTTATTAGGTCGGTTTCCGCTTCTCCTACTCTTATTTTAATGAACGTTTCCATAATACATGATTCGATTAACTTAACTAATTTTTGTGGGAAGTTATACTCCCTAAGAATATTTATCAAGCTTTTGCGATGAATACTATCGTATGCCTTCTTGAAGTCGATAAAGAGCGCCTCCTTGATAATCTCCAATGATTTGCTCCGATTTTGTTCTTATCCTTGACAAGATACAGTTCGTGAAAACTTTATACGCAACACTAAGTAGGGCAATTCCGCGATAATTATTGCAATCTTGTTTATCCCCTTTCTTATGAATTGGGCGTACTAAGGCTATTTTCCAATCTTCCGGAACTTTTTCGGATAACCATATTCGGTGGATCAATTTCCACAACCTGAACGTCATTTCTTCTCCTCCTTTTTTGAGAAGTTCTGCATGAATTTGATCCTCGCCAGGTGACTTATGATTTTTTAATATGTTAATTTGGAATCTTATCTCGTCCAATGAAGGTTCTGGGCATTCTTGTTCTTCTTCAGCTACTAAGTTAAGGCTATAGACTTCATCAGGTGCTTCACAGTTAAGGAGAGTATCAAAATAATCTCCCCACTTTTTGGCTAATTCTTCATTCGTGGTTATCAACGACCCATTGTCATCTTTTAGGAATCTTTCCTTCTTCTTGTATCCACCAGTTAGATAATTTATGCGTTTATACATATCTCTAGCCCTATGTGCTTTGTAGTCTAGTTCAGCATTAACCATTATATTTCGAACATATTTCCGCTTCTCACCTCTTAGGATGTTGCTTGTTTCCCTTAGACGAGTTTTGTACCTTGCGAATAGTTCTTCGTTTCTCGTATCGTTTAACCAATGTTGCCTTGCCACCTTTCTTCTCTGCAGCGCTTCTTCGCAAATTCTATTGAACCAGGGTTTGGGTTTTAGCTTTTTTGTTCCTAAAGTCTTGCTAGCTACATTGCTTAAAGCATCTCTAATTTCTTCCCAACCCTCATCGATATTTCCTTCGAATATTCTTTGCTTACTTTGTAAAGTGTCCTTGATACTGTTTACAAAAAGTTTGCCTATATCATGATTTTCTAATTTATCTATGTCAAGCCTTCTTGAGTTTACTGGATTTTTTTTATCAAGTTTTTTGAGTTTCACTTTTATCCGTATGCCTAGTAGTAAGTGATCAGAACCAATGTCTGCTCCCCGCATTGTTCTTACATTCAGTACGCTGTTTTTGAATCTGTAGTTTACTAGTACATGATCTATTTGGTTTTTGTATCTACCGTCCGGAGATACCCATGTATACTTGTGTATATCTTTCTTTGGTAACATAGTGCTCTTTATCACCAGACCATTTCCTACTGCAAAATCAATCAGCTTTGCACCATTGTTGTTCGTATTTTCATGTAGGCTATGGTTTCCAATGACATTTCTATAGCATATCTCTCGACCTAGCTTAGCGTTAAAATCGCCTAGTACAATTCTTATTGTACTAGTTGACGAGGCAAATATATCTGCCAACGTTGCATAAAACAAGTCTTTTTCGTCTTCATCCTTCTCCTCTGTTGGCGCATGTGCATTAATCAAAACTGCATCAAAATTTTCGGATTCTATTGTTATGGTCGAAATTCTTGGGCTTATATCTCTAAATTCCTTAACTGTGTGAATTATTGATTCGTGTATTGCAAATCCTGTACCTAAGTTGTGGGGGTGTTCACATTTCCCATTAAAAATTGTTGTTTGAGATACTTTAGTTGTTCCAGCATCTTCCCACCTAATTTCTTGCAAGGCTACACATTTCATCTTGTATTTTTCTATTTCTGTCACTAAATCCAAAGTTGCTCCTGGTTTGTACAAGGTCCTTACGTTCCATGTACCACATAATAAAGCCGATTTCCAATTTCCTTTCTTTTTTCCGTTAAATCTTTCCCGAGGCTTGTTGTTTGCGTCCTGAACATAACTATTTTTTATATGGATGGGTTGTGAGCCCATCGCATAACCCCCAACCTGGAGGACCAGACCACTCCGATCACTTAAGATCAGAGTGGGGCTATTGCAGCACCCATTGAAGGGCACTGGGCGATAGGGACGCCACTTTCCCAACGCCTTAAACCAACGTATGATATGAGTATAAAAATAAAAATGATTAACTTTTAATGTAAATTATTTTTTTATTTATTTTTTATTATGTAGGCTGTAGTATGGTTGTGCAGTCAATCTCCATGTCATTTAATATTCTTGACATTTCTGCTTCCTAAAACATAATTTAATAGTAAAATTATATTAATTAGAATTTGAAGGGAAAAATAAATTACAACTTAATATGCAATGCTTCTGAATATGGTATGTACCTGCATCGGCTACATCAATCCCAATATTATCTATTATTAGTTACTTATTTAAATTTTATTTAATACAATGTGTAATAGCCCCATGTATACAAATTACAACCGTAATAGCCCCATGTATACAAATTACAACCGTAATTACCTATATAATATATAAATATACCTGTATAGAGTGCCGCCCTATTCTCTCAAACTAAGGACCTACCTTTATTATAGCTATAAGTTTCTTATATTATAGTACGCGAGGCGAAAAGTGAGCCGCGATCGTCGCGCGCCAAGCGGCTATTTTTCGTCAGGGTTACTCCGCCTATTCTTACTGTTTTCCCGCCTATAAAGTAATTTCAAACGACGTAATGTAGATTTTTTTAATAAATTATAATAAAAAATAAAAATAAAATACAAATAACACAAGTAATACATAAAATACAAATAACACGATTAATACATATTATAATACATTTTTTTTTTTAATTAATCATATCGTCTTCATCATCGTCTTCGTCAGTAGAACTGTCGTCGGGATTAATTGTCATTATAATAGGCTCCAAAATTTCATCTCTTAATCCTTCTTTCACCAAATCTTCTTGAATTTTATCGCAGTGGTCGCCACATTTTGCCCAATCTTCTGCTGTGACTGCATCTAAAGCACTATTTACTAACACTTCTATATCTGCCATTTTGAAGGTGTTATTTTTTTCCGCGACTTTACCCTTAACTTGCGCCCAGATTAATTCGATTGGGTTATATTGGCAGTGGTAAGGAGGAAGTCTTACCACTTCATGGCCCATTTGAAGTGCAATTTCGTCCAATTTATATTTTTTTTCTTTTGGAATCGTCAATTTGACTTTTTCCCCGTAGTTCGCTTAATGTCTCTACTGGAGAAAAGTCTACAGATTTGTCTTGTAACCATTTTTGTACATCTGCCTTTCGAGTATTTGCCTTAGGATATTCTTCTGTTAAGGTAGAATGGTATGAGGCATTGTCCATTACAATTATACAAGGTTCTTCTAAATTGCCCAACATATCTATAAACCATTTTTGAAAAATGGTGGCGTTCATTTGAGAATGATAGTCTGCCTGCGATCCCGACTTGCAACGAAAAACCAGTTTTGAATTTTTGACAAAACCAAATGAAGGTGACCCAGCATGACACACAATAAGCCGACCGCCCTTTCCAATAGGTACTTTTAATCCTTCGGTGTTGTCGGAGTTTTGCCATATGTGTCCTCGCGTATGATTTTGGTTTACCCATGTTTCGTCTAAGTAAACTATTGGCCTTGTATCGTTATTACGTCTGAACTCGTTCATTTTTCTCAAAAACTTAACCCGAGAACTAATAATATCATTTCTTTCCATTAGAAATTTACGCCCATCATTACATTTTTTGTATTTGAAATTTAAACTACGCAAAATATGTCGCACGGACCATTGTGAACCCGAATAATTAATTTTTTCATGCAACGCTCTCAATATTTTTGCACTAGTTGGATACTGACCATTATCATAAAAACTATGAACTGTTCTTCTGACAACTTCATTGTCAAAATCGTCTAAGTTGGTCATAGGTTTGGCACGTTTATAAGATTTCCTTGGAGACTTAAATGAAGAAGGTTCGGCAGCTAGTTGATTTTCACCCACAGACAATTTTTTCCCTTCAGCACAAACTCGTTTAACACAAGCAAGACTTACGCCACACGCTTCAGCAGTCATTTCACGAGTTTGACGAAAAAAATTACTAATTTCTGGCTTACCTTTGTCACCAGCCAATATTTTGAAATAATTATAAACATGAAAAATAACTTTCTTCGTTTGAGAATGTGTGTCTTGATATGCCATTTTAAAACTATTTTTGTATACGAGTAATTATTAAAGAAATAATTAAAAATACTATTAACATTCAAACTTTAAAAGCGCGCACTTTAAAAACCAACCATGTAAGAACGCGGGAAATATGATTACAAACGTAGATAATAAACGAATAAAAACACGTGTAAACTCGTATCTCGAATGTCGAATGACTAACCAAACCTTAACAAAATATTGTGGTATGCAACAGCTGCAGCACTACCCCCTACTGCTAAAAGAAAATAAATTGGTCTCCAAAATACAATCAATTGTACAATAAATTACCACCTGCCGTTTTTAAAATGCGCGCCAGCTGTTTCCATTGCACACAAACGTAGAACCCCTGAAACCAGAAAAAATGACCGCTTGACGCGCAACGATCGCGGCTCACTTTTCGCCTCGCGTACTATAGATGAAGTTCTTCCCTTTATTATAAGCTTATGTCGTTCATATTATATTATAGAATATCAGAGCAGGTAGCAAATGTGATGACTGATGAGAATTGAATTAGAATGTAAGCCCCACCCCCCCCCCCACCCAAAAAAAAAAAAAGTATTTCATCATGATTTTAGGAAGTATTTTATACGAACAGTTATTAAACTTAAGGGCAGTCGGCCTTCTGTTAAAAAAAAATATTAATGGGGATGTTTAATTGTTAACTTTTTTTTATTCATGTCTTCGTTAAGTCCCAAATAATTTTGTTTTATAAGATAATAATTATAAAAAATATTAAACTAACTTATGTTTCTATATGTTATGTGTAATTTTTATACAAATAGTATTTATAAATATATATTTATACATAGTTATGTACTAAAAACTTACTTTTGCTATACGGCGCCTTTCTAGCTGCACCCTTAGATCTGGTTCTTGTGGTTGCTAAGTTAAAAAAATTTAGTATTATGTACTTAGTTCATATATTGTTATTTATTATATAATAATTACTATTTGGCGTGGCTGCCACAAACATGGACTCTTGTGTCTATTTAGGCAGACACTGCATCCTATAATAACAATACACTTTTTAAATAGGTAGTCCATAAATGCAATAAAAATGAAATAAGTTAAATAAGTTTTGTCAAATATACTAACTTTTTACTCCTGGATTTGGCGAGGGAACAAAATACCTACAACGGCCATCATGCATTTTTTTGCATATTCGGCATCCTTAAAAAAATTAAATAATTTTTGTTTGTGAAATTAATTATTTTAAATGCTTAATATACATACTTTGTCTGTCCGGTGTTTGATGGGTTTGTTTACCCAAATCTGTTCCAACAGCCTTGCAATAGCCAGCATGGCGTTTTTTGCATTTTCGGCATTCTTAAAAAAATCAAATACATTTTGTGAATTGAATTACCTACATTAAATAATTAATATGCATACTTGGTTTAACTATTTTGTTAGTTTGTTGGCCGGTTTTCACTAATGCATCTAAAATAAAATTAATTAAGCATCTAAGTAAAAAAATTAAATTGTGAGCATGCTTCTTACCGCTAGATTTTGGCTGTGATGATGTCGATGCTTGGCCTTCTAACCCATAAAAATAGTTATGATTTATTGTGCTCATCTATATAATACATAAATAACAGGGTAATTAATATTTTTCAATTTAAAATGACAGAATTACTAATGTAAATATTTATATAATGGTAGGCATTCACAGCCAACGACCCAACACTATAATATATTTTATTTCAAATGACACTGTTGTAGTATTATTTTTAACATATAAATTGAATTCAGAAAAAAAAAAATTAGTATAGTAGCATAAGCTTAAAGTTAATTAAATTGTTGTACAAGAGGTGTCTTGCACTCATGATATCAATGACTATGTACCACACATATTTCCATTTAATATGTTATTATTGATAATTTGTAATTAAAATTAGAATAATAAATGGAGGTTTTAAATTACTCTCAAATTAAGTAACATTAATAATATTATAATTTTTGTGGTAGGTTTCAAGCAAACTAAGCTTTAGAAATTATCGAAAACACATATTGTATTTCCCAATTGTATTTAGACACTGAAATTAAAATGATTTACAAATATTGTTGGAACAGGCTTTACTATGAATTTGTTTTCCTGTAAATATTAAATTAATTTTATTATTTGAATACTGAACTTTTTCATAAAACGTCACTATGATCTAAATTCGTCCACAAAATAAACCTCGTTCCTGTGCAACACTTATAATAAGTTGAGTACGTTTTGTAAAATTCTTGCATTTAAAGAATTATGTTGTAAATTAATTTTATCCATGTTATTATTTTAATACTGTTCTATTTCAAAAAAATGTTTCTATGATATAAACTCGATTATAAAATAACTTTTGTATGGAACACCAATATTAAATTTAGTGAAAATCGTAAAATATATGAGTTCAAAGAAATTCAAACTGTATTGTGTGTTAATATGAATACGTTACCAGTTAACATTAAAAAAAAAAAAATTAAGCTATGTGAATATTTTACTTACTTTGATAGTTATTATAGTTCCTTCTTGTTTGAAGTTCGAATATAAAATCAACGAAAAACTAGGTACCGCACCTATAATATAACGTGTATACTAAAACCAATTAGTGGTTTGTGTCCTTATTTAATCTATATCGCAAGTACCCTTGTTATTATTTTTTCTTATTTTTACATTATCATAATTTTATTGCCTTCACGCTACGTATAATATAAGCAGTTGTACACCTATTCTATTTGACGTGTGTCTAAATCTTAGATATATACTTGATTGATAACTTTTTGGACTTTAGAAATTGCAATCTTTATCTCGAGTAATTTCCGATACTCGTTATGAAATAATATAAAATATCAAAATACTGTGTTTTTTTATTTACCTGCCTATCTATAGATTAGTTATTTACACTAACTCGTCGAGTACAAATTTTTTTTTTCAATTTAGGATGACATTGTGTCTAGTTGTCGACGTGAAAGGTTGACATCCATTTTGGTATACCTATCGCCTCGGTTATCAAAAACATCGTGTTCTTGGTGTGTTACATTTAATTTTTAAACAACAAATTTTCACCTGTCTCTAAGTCCCTGGTGAGTACTTAACAGCTTACATTTATAATCTTTATAGTATCTATGTATTTAACGCTTGTGACGATATTACACAAAAATCAAACTTATCTGTACAAATTTATCTATGATCAAAATTTAAAAGATATACCTATTGAATACAATATTATTTAACTATTTCTTATTTATTTATTTATTTTGTCATTGTACTTGGATTATCTGTACTATTGGGCTTTTGACCGTTTTATTCAACTGAATAAACTATTATTATTATTATTATTTTTACTTACTTAAATATTTATATTATAGTTTTAAAACATTAACAAAAATATTTTGTCTAATATTATAAAGAGGAAAGGTTTGGATGTTTGTAACGAATAAGCTCAAAAACTATACTTGACCGATTTCAAATTATAAAATGTACACTATAATCAAAAATGTGTTATGTATTTAGTTGGTACAGGGCTTTTTTGTCCTATAGGTGGGGATTTTTATACCATATTTTGATATGTGGACTTTTTTTCGAATGCCCTCAATTTATACTAGTTACGGTACACAACACATCTGCACCGGTGTCGGCTAAATATTTTTATATTTGAAAATAAATGGTCATGATTTTTGGTCCAAAAATTATTTACATGAAAATGGCATCTAACCATTTTTGTTGTTTAAAATGGCCAGTGGAGGAAAACGGTTTCTCATTTTTGGAAGAAAATAAACCAGCCCGATAATTTTATTAACTGATGATAAATAAGCCTATTTATTTTATTATTATAACTTGTAAGCCCTTTTCATATAAACGGAAAATTATATATTTTTCGAATATTTTTGTTGATCAGATAATAGTATAAATATTCATTTATTATACCTATACTCGCAGTTATAAACGAAACTTAAATTTTCCAAAAATACGTTTGACACATTAACATTTTGTTCGAAAATTCCAAATCTTTAAATAACTAATATTTCTAAATAATTTGTCCAGAATATTTTGCTTATATAAAACTATAATCTCTGCTTAGTTTCCAATGAAAACAAATATTTTAGTCGAAAAATAAAGCGGTCGTATTTTGTGAAAAAAAATATAATATAGACAGAATTCTTGATGAAATGCTTTTGAAAATAAATTGGACTTATCAATTTCTTAATTATATTTATGTTTCGACACTGTTTAATCTCAAAAATAGAAAAGCATACCTATATAAATACTTTATACCGTAGAATTCGAATATTATAATTAATGTTATATTATTATTTTGGCGTCCAGCATGCCCACATAATATTAGTGTATGGCTGATATTTATCTCTAGACTATTGCAGGTGAAATACCTACCTACGTAGTTGTTAGTAAATGTATTGACTATTGACTATTAATTATAACATGATACAGGTATTATAGCTGATAATGTATTGGTGGGCATATTGTACAATGTCTTAAGTAGGTAAAGAAAGACAGTTCTGGCGCCTCAACCTGCTGGCAATTTCCTATACCCGTCTGCTCAACCCACTATACCCAGTGCCGCAACTAAGTTATTTAGGGCCCCAGGGCAAAATTTAATTTCGGGCCCTATAACTATAGGGGGTACATAATAACATAAAATGCTGCTATACATTTTTTTTTTGATAAAATTAAAAGGCATGATAAATGATTATTATTTTGTATATCTTTTTTATTCTATGTTTTTGTGGAAATAATATCTGTATTTATATAATTTATTTTATATATTTAAATAATTTTAATAAACTTAACAATACATTAATTCATAATTAATCAAATTTCATTTTTCTTGCTTTCATATTTGAAAAATTTGTTAATATTTTGTCCATATCAATTTCTTTTGTACGGCGCTGTTCAATATTTAAAACTGAAATATTAGACAGTCGTTCTTGTCCAATGGAATTCCTTAAATAACTTTTTATTATCTTAAGTTTTGAAAAAGACCTTTCTGCTGTTGCAACCGTTACTGGCAATGTCAAATAAATTATACATGCTCCTAATATATCAGAGTAACTCGTAGCAAAATCGTTTTCGAGAATAAATGAAGCCAGTGCTTGGATACTATTCAAATTTTTATTTTTTATAATTTCTTTGATTGATAGCAATTGACTCGTTAAATCAGAACTAATATCTGATTGATACATTTGTATAAAGTCATATGATCCTTTAATAGTAATTTCATCTGGTCCTAAAAGTGTTTGAGGTTTCAAAAAATTGAAAATGGTACAAACGTTATGTAAACCTTTAAAGCGATCTTTAAGTTGACATATTATTGTGTCAACAATTGGTAAAAATACTTTTATTTTAAAATTATCTTGTGTGATATTCATCCGTCTGTCGCCATCTATTTCATCAAAAAACAATCTTGCTTTTTTTTTGGCGAGCCACTTTGTCATCAGTTGGAATACCCCATTTAATTGCCAGGTTGCTTGCATTTTCAACTATACTACAATAGTCATTCCTAAGTTGCTGCATACAAGTATAGGCATCAGTCAATCTATCTAATGCTTTCTGGAGGTCAATGTCTTGTTTCTGCAAAAGTTTAGAGATACCATGCAAAGGACGCAATACTCGTTCCCACAAACATAACATCAGTAAAAATTCAAAAGATTCTATTTTTTTTTTAATTGAAATTGCCATATGTTTTTCATCTACTTATTACTTGATAAACTCATGTATGTAATGATTTTATAAATCTATATACCTTGTTTAATGCAGATACTGATGAATGCCTAGCCTCCCAGCGAGTAGGACAAACTTTTTTTAATACTTTTAAGTCTAATTGTTTTGGCATGTGTCTCACCAAATGCAAGTGATGCCCATCTAGGACAACTAGAACTAAAAAAATTGAATATAGTTTGTAATGTTGTAAAAAAGTTAGTTGCAACTTGCGTCGATTTTGCTGCATCACAAATCACCAAGTTAAGGTTATGTGCGCAGCAGTGTACATAATGTGCATTTGACACAGTAGAAGATATTCTTTGTTGCACTCCTGAATAAGCTCCACTCATTACTGCTGCACCATCATAACCCTGGCCTCGACAATTTTGGATGTCCAACACGTCATAAATAAGATTTTCATAGTCCTTTGAGCCATGGTTCTCTAATTCAAAAAACCCAAAAAAAGATTCTTTTACTTCAAATGATTTTGTTTCGTAGTTTAAAACAACATAACGCAGTATAACACTCAATTGATCAATTTTTGTTATATCTTGTGTCGAATCTACTATTATTGAATAATATTTAGATCTTTTTACTTCGTTTGCTAATATATTTAATACTTCTGAGGATAATAAATGAATTAATTCATTTTGAATTTTCCAACTCAGGTATTTTATTTTATTATTTTCATTATTCAACAGATCATTTAAAACTGGATCAAAATCTGCCATTAGCCTTACAGTTCTCATAAAGTTTCCTTCTGTATTATTTATTTTAGTTTTACTGTTTTCATTTCCTCGGAGAGCAGTATTCCCCGCAGTTAAAAATAAAATAATTTTTACTAATCTAATTAAAACACTTCTCCAAAAACTAGCTTCTTTAATAATTTTATCTTCCATATGTTTGTCTATAGTTCGTTTTTAACCAACGTACTCGGACTTCAGTGGCTTGAATATGTTGTTGAGAAATTTCATGTGTTCCAATTTTTTCTCCAATATGGTGCCAATCATTAATTCCTAATATCCAATTTATTTTAAAATTTCTATTTTGCCTATCAGCGAAAAGCCAACATATTTCACAGTATGCACAATCTAAAATGACTGAATAGCATAACCATATTCTGGGTATACATAGTCCTGTATTTGTAGTTTTGTGATAATACTGTACTGAAAAACGTCTAAGGATACCTTTTCCATCAGGGCTGTACGGAAATTCTATGTTGATTGGTTTACACGGTCCATGCAATAAAATACTTCTCTTCAAATCAGATTTTACAGTCTCAAACTCTGTAAAATGTCCACGGTCAGTTGGATAATCATTTGTTAAATCTAAACCTATAAATAAAACAAAATTTACTATACATATTATAAGGTAGGTAATGAATATCAAAATTGTTGAACTGTTTAAAAGCTATATGAATATCTTTTTACATTTAATATCACTTGAAATAGATGTAATTATTATGATTTTTAATTTATTCAGTTTAGTTTAAGTTTTAAGAAAACTATAATTTGAGAAATATATTTCACCTGGTTTATAAAATATGCCTGATTCATTATCATCACAATTCTCAGGCGATTCCACTTCATTATTGTCATTCATTATTTGACTAATTAAGTTGTTGGAACAGTTATCAACTAAAAGCAAAAAATTACTTTATGAAATAGGAATAAATAAAATGTTCATTAAAATGTATAATATTATGAACAATTATTATATACCTAGGTGTAGCATTGGTATAATATAATAAATTAAATAACATAGCTAATCTTCATACGATATGTGTTTATTAGTTTACATTTTTTACATTTTAATAATTGTAAAAAGTTTAATTTAGGTACGTACCTGGTTTATCAAATATGCCTGGCTCAGTACCATCACAAGTCTCAGACAATTCCACTTCATTATTTTCATTCATTATTTGACTAATTAAGTTGGTGGAACAGTTATCAACTAAAAGCAAAAAAAAATTACTTTATGAAATAGGTACAAATCAAATGTTCATTAAAATGAATAATAATATGAACAATTATTATATAGGTGTACCATTGGTATAATATAATAAATTAAATAACAAAGCTAATCTTCATACGATATGTGTTTAGTATAGTTTACATTTTACATTTTAATAATTGTGAAAAGTTTAATTTAGGTAGGTACCTACCTGGTTTATCAAATATGCCTGGCTCAGTATCATCAAATATCTCAGACGATTCCACTTCATTATTTTCATTCATTATTTTGACTAATTAAGTTGTTGGTGGAAGAGTTATCGACTAAAAGCCAAAAAAATAAAAAATAAAATAAAATACAATAAATTAAAATGTTCATAACAATTTTCTACTAATAATATAATGAACAAGTGAACAGCTAGTTTAGGCACCTACACAGGTATTCTCCATATAATAAATTAAACAACAAATGAAATTGCAAATTATATAAACAAAAAAAGTATGATAAAATTATACTTAAATCACGAACTAAGTAATAAAATATCAACATAATTATAAATTATTCTACCTATTAAATATGATGTGCTTATCCTCATAGTTTTTTGTATAGGTAGTTTACATTTTTACGTTTTAATAATTCTGAAAAGTTTAATTTAGGTTCCTACCTGGTTTATCAAATATGTTTGGCACAATATCATGACTAGTCCCAGACGATTCCACATCAGTATTGTCATTTGTTTTATTCAAACATTAGCACGCTTGTCAACTCAAATATTAAAAAAAATATCACTATTCCAATCATATTATTTATAGATGTGCAGATGTAATGTTATAATAGGTAAAATGTAAATGTGTACATAGTAAACTACGTTTTTTGTAAACAACCATCATTTTAAGAAAATCTTAACTTCAGGAATCTTAACAACCACCCAGTATTTAATTATATATATTTACCACTTACCAGCATTATCCAAATTGTTTTTTACTACAAACATATTTAATGAACCTCTCAATTTCTTTATTTCTTCATCTTTTTTATTTTCATTTTCCTTTTTGCTGAACCACTGGGATATTTTGGCATTATAAATAATATTAAAATCACTTATAAGTCAAGTATTAAAGTATTAACACCAAGGGCAATGATTATAAAGTATTTATTTATTAGCAATGAAAAGTGAAAATTAAAAGTACCTTGTAGTAACTTCGTAATTTATTATAAATGTGAAATAATTTAATATACATAGACTATAGAGGCATAAGCTGTAAAGATTATTGCCTATTGGCTATTGGTGAATTATTATTTTGTATGTAGGTACCTAAATGTAAACAAAAGAGATATTTTATATTCTATTTTTATTTTTCACTTTTGTGGTACTTACTTTGGTTTATAAGACAAACTGAGTATTCAGTGTAGCCAATTCCAAGATGATCGGTGATTTTTTCATCATTAATCTTTTATCACAGAATAAATCTATGAAATTAAATTGACTTGCCACCAAAGACTTTATACTACTACGGCTATAGATAGTACTATATACTAATATACTATCTTTAATCGTGCTTATACCATGGATTTTTACCGCATTATTACTAGTCGATTATGAACTCCTTAATATTTAATATTTAAAATAATTAAATTCAAAATACATTTTTACAAAATCAAAACCTAGGAAAAATAATAATAGTATCCATCCATTATGGGCCCCCTTTGAAAAATAAATTTGGGCCCTTTAGCAGGGCTTTGCCCTGCTTGCCCTGGTGGTAGTTGCGGCACTGACTATACCCGTCTGCTCAACCCACTATATCGTCTGCTCAACCCACTATACCCGTCTGCTCAACCCACTATACCCGTCTGCTCATCCCTATACATTGACGGCTGCTGAACCCACCATATATCACATACGTTAACGATGTACCCCCGCCACCCCACCACCTATGACCACCGCGCGTGGAAAATAATTTAAAAATTTATCCGCCGGACCGTGATTCGAACCCGGTTAACTTGCATGATAAGCGACAACCGTACCACTGGGCCGCCTACTCGCATCTGTTTGAGAAGGTATATTCTATCTCATTTAACTGGCGTTCGCTTACGTACGCGAGGTATAATTTCCCCCGCCACTATACCATTTACCCCCACCCGAATAACCTGTAGGGACTTTTCGATGTCTCCCCCACCAATTAATATTTAATTTGCTCGTTTATGAACACAACTACACAACATAAATTCAGTCACTCTATATAATCGTTCCAAGTGTTTCGCGTGTGCTTGTCTCATATTCAGTGTTAAAATGGGGACATGGTAGGAACCTCCACGCGGTGTCCCTGGAACGACGAGATTGCATTTTTATAAGATATACCTGATATATACGACAATAATGCAACGCTCGTCAACCAATCCTACCAACCACGGTCTTCAACCCATAAGGCCCTTTTCAGGGCCAACCATGACGATGATATCCATAAATATCGAAGGTCTTACACCAGAGAAAGAAAATATTTTAGCGGAGTTATGTAAAACATCGGGATGTGAGGTGCTGTGCTTACAAGAGACGCAACGAGATACAAACCACAGAAGACCAAAAATAAGCGGGATGAGACTAGTGGTAGAAAGGCCACACAGTAAATACGGAAGTGCTATATTTACTAAACCTGATTTGGATATAATATCGACAGGGATCACAGACAAAAACAATATAGAAATTATGACAATAGACATAAAACAATGCACCATAACATCAATATATAAGCCCCCTAATGTATCATTTGAATTTGAAGAACCTGAGAACTACAGGGAAAGAAATATAAAAATTGTAATAGGAGATTTTAATAGCCATAATGTGATGTGGGGATACACAGAGAACAATGAAGATGGGGAAAAGGTCGAAGATTGGGCAGAAAGGGACAATATGAGTTTAATACATGATGCTAAACTCCCACCATCATTTAACAGCGGTAGATGGCGGAAAGGATATAACCCCGACAACATCTTCGTGAGCCATAATATAAGAAATATGAGCATTAAATCAATAATGAAATTTATCCCAAGAACTCAACATCGACCGATCCAATGCCAGATAAATGCAGCCATAACACCGCGAATGGTACCTTTTAGGAGACGATTCAACTTTAAAAAGGCTAAATGGGCAGAAGTCACGAAATATATGGATAATGAAATACAAACTCTACAACCAACACCTGCTAATTACTGCAAATTTGTTGATAGATTAAAGAAGGTCTCAAGAAAATATATACCAAGGGGTTGCCACATCAATTACATCAAGGGACTACGACAAGACACCATAAAGGACTTAGAAACCTACTACGAAAGGTATGAAGAAGATCCCTTTTCGGAACTAACAATTGAAACTGGAGAACGTATTTTGAAGGATATAGCCGAAGAACGTAAAAAAGAATGGATGACATTAATTAAGGATCTAGATATGGTCAAAAACAGCAACAAAGCCTGGAAACTAATAAAAAGCATGAACAATGAAAAACAACAACCGAAAGAGCATATAAACATAACACCAGACCAAATTGCACACAAATTATTAATGAATGGGAAAACGAAGACAAAAGGGAAGAAAACTAAGCTTAAATTTAAAATGGATATAAAGAATAATACAAGTGACTTCAATAAACCATTCGAGATGGATGAGCTAAATATGGCCATCGGAGTAATGAAAAATAGGAAAGCAGCGGGCATCGACGGAATCATGACAGAACAGATCAAGCAACAAGGCCCCAAAGCCAAGGAATGGCTACTAAACATGTTCAATAACTGTATCAAAACCGATAGTATCCCAACAGAATGGCTCAAATCACATGTTGTGGCATTATTGAAGCCTGGAAAAGCCCCTACAGATGCAAGTAACTTTAGACCCGTGTCACTATTATGTCATACATATAAAATGTTTGAGAGAATGGTACTGAATAGAATAAAAGACAAGATAGACGGGAAACTAATCAAGCAACAAGCTGGCTTTAGGGCTGGTAAGTCATGCACGGGGCAAATACTTAACCTTGTTGAAGAAATAGAGAAAGGCTATGAGAATAATGTAATAACAGGTGCAGCTTTTATCGACCTCAGCGCTGCATATGATACGGTTAATCATAGATTACTGCTTAAGAAAATATATGAGCTAACTGAAGATGCGAAATTCACAAAAATTATTAGTCTTTTATTAAGGAATAGACGGTTTTTTGTATCATTGCAGGCCAAAAAGAGCAGATGGAGAAGACAAAATAATGGATTACCCCAAGGAAGTGTTCTATCACCAATTTTATTTAATATTTATACTAATGATCAACCAATTGGGACCCAAACGAAGCACTTTATATACGCTGATGACCTCGCTATTACAACCCAGGGCAAAACATTCGAAGAGGTGGAAGTGAATCTGAATGACACACTTAATACTATGAAGGAATATTATAATGATAATTACCTCAAACCGAATCCAGCAAAAACACAAATTACCGCTTTCCACTTACGAAACAGAGACGCCAAGCGGAAACTGAGAATTAATTGGCAAGACACAGAATTAGAGCATTGCGAAGAACCAACCTACTTAGGCATTAAACTTGACCGAGCCCTGATATATAGAAGTCATTGTGAAAACACAAAAAATAAAATAGGAACAAGAAACTGCTTGCTTCAAAAACTGGTTGGCTCTCAATGGAGCGCAGACCCTCATGTCTTGAGAACGACAGCTTTATCACTATGTTACTCGACGGGTGAATATGCTTGTGCTGCATGGTGAAACTCAGCACATGCTAAAAAGATAGACGTGGCCCTAAATGTAACTAACAGATTAATTACGGGGTGCCTGAGACCAACACCAGTTCAGAAAGTACAAGTATTATGCGGTATAGCACCCCCTAATATAAGGCGAGAGGTGGCAGCAAGGGTAGAGAAAACAAAACAAGAATCAGACTTAAGACATCCTCTATATGGAGGTAAAACCATGGGGAGCCGGCTCAAATCAAGGAAAAATTTTTTGAAGACAACAATTAGCCTATCACAAACACCTGAAGCAACGAGAATATACTTATGGAAGGAGGCAATGAAAGAGCATAACTCACTGCTATGGAAGGATCCGAAGGAAAGCTTACCGACCGGAAGTCACTTACCATGGTCGGTATGGAAGACACTGAATAGATTACGAACGGAAACTCGAAGGACAGCGAGTAATATGAAAAAATGGGGATTGAAAGATGATGGGAAATGCGAATGTGGTGGAGAGCAGGATGCGGACCATCTGTTTGTATGCCCACAATTACCGAATAAGTGTAGAAAGGAAGATTTTTTGACGCATAAAATTTCAGACAAAGCAATACAAATTGCGGCTTACTGGGGAGCGAAGGGAATATGAAGACCGATACGACAAGAAGAAGAAGTGTTAAAATCATAATTATTTCTCAGTGCGTAAAATAAATATGGCTGGTCCAATTGAAAATATGGAAAATATTTACAAGAAAACTTACAAATATACACCACCATCGCCGCCAGCTAATCTGATCGACTGCAGTAACTTGACTATTGATTTCACGGCTCGGAAGTTTTTAAACATTGGACTAGACCCTACCGATGAATTCAAAGCAGCGGTTCATATTATAACAGCTTCGCGGCATGTAAATATTCCCATCGATTTTCTGGAACGCATATTCAGACTTATGGGAAACATTCTATCGTTCGTACTTGACCGTCCACACGAACACAAACGAATTTTATTTTTGGAGACAGAGTCAATTACAATGTCTAGTATGATATATAAATCGGAGAACACACTTGTTTTAGAATCAAAAACTCAAGACGGATGTCGCGTTTTGTTAAATCGTACAGATCTACTGGTCTTACAAGATTTAGAATGTGCTATTTTTGAAATTATTAAAAGAAAATCCGAAATAGTTAAACCAATCGTACTACATCATATTGAGTTAATCGTCACATTCTTAAAAATAAACGTACCGCTACAAAGCTCAGTACTCGAAATATTGAGAACTCATGTGAGAAACATCGATAATAGCTTTATCCAAAGCCATGTTATTGATAAGGCAATGCAATATGGTATTAGTCAGAGCGATTACATTTACACAAATCAAGTAAAATTATACGCAACTGATTATATCGTACAAAAATGGATGAACAAAGTGAAAAAAGATGAGGTATGAATATTTTTTTTAATAACTTATATTATTATATTATGTTAATAAACTGAATTTTTACAGGGATACAATAGCGAGCGTTCTATGACTTTTTCTCCACCACCATCGTTCAGCAGTTTATATGAACAGGTAATAAACAGGTATAAATTATATTCACAAAACATATTTTAATTTTAAATATTTTCAGGAAAATCTATCATTAGTCTCGCCCTTGTCCCCGCCAGCACAAGAGAGCTACCTCGAGAACAACCAGGAAGGCTTTTCGGAAAACGATGGACCATTTGGACCACAATATAATTAATTATTTTTATACTAATTTAATTGTTTTTTGTCTAAAATAAAAACAAGCGTGATATTTAAAAACAAGTTTTTTTTATTTAATAATAAGGTTATAATATATATATATAGCATAAGGTCACAATATTTTACAAAAAAAAAATATATAAACATTTTTACAAAAAATGAGCCAGTAATCAAGTTACACATGACTTTTATACTATTGATTTTCATTATCTTGACTGTACTTTCAGATTCGTAATTATTACCAGTAGTGTATAATTCATTTCTAAAACCCAATAATTTCGCTATACTATTTTCAACTGATAAGTCAACGTCATGACTACACGAGAGTATACACTTTAATGTGGTATTGTTTGCTTTTAATTCAAACCACTCGATATATTCGGGCATATTTTTCTGTATAACACTCTCTAAATTATCAAACTCATACGATCCCGTAGGTATGATAACATCCTCTCTTTATCCGATCATATTACGAAAACCGATAGTATTACAGCCGGGTTCAATGTTTGGTATTGAATTATTTGTCTGTAGGCTCAAAAGCCATATTTGTGATGTGCTTTCTACTTCTAGCGGTGGAAAAATGTCGCATGACAATTCACTTGAGATACCGTTTAATGTTAACGTGTACATGATAAAAATTTTAAACACAAGTGCCCGCAGTTGGTAGTATTATATTTCTGCTCTCTGCTGTAATTGAAATTGATGTCGCATCCGTGAAAATATTTTTGTACTTCTAATGGAGGTGGCAAATTTCCGAAACTGTCATAATATTCAATTTTATTCCCGATTTTTTTATACGCTACCCAGTGAGTACCTATACCGTTTTCCTGTATCCAAGTTAACAATCGCTGATTCTACTCGTTTACAGCGTACAGGCAACCTATCTTGGGTAAACACACCTACGAAGTGAGGTATTTTAATCAAACGAGCCATTTTTATAAGCTCGTAATCGTACAGGGCTCGACGGGGTAACGTAGCTATTAGTTTTTTTTATTTTTTCTAGTTTTTATAGTCTTCTTTGTTTTTACACTCCCTCCACTTTTATATGGTGCGAGATTTAAACCTGATCCGATTTTATACGAGTTGCCCTTATACGGCGTGATATATAATCCGCCGCCCAAATGAGATTGCGTATTTCTTTTAAATTCGTTAGCAACCTTGACAACGTTGGCAACACCGCCACTCAGTGCTCCTAGTGCTGACAAACCGGCAAAAATCGGAATGAGCGGTAACACCCCGCCCTTTTTCGGAATTGATATAATCCTTGGAACTTTAGTTTTTTTATTTTTGAATGTTTTTCGTGCGACGGCTACACATTTCTTACTTAATTTCATAAGATTTTTTTCGCCGATATTTTTCTTTATTGTGTTTTTAGCTGCTTTGATGGCTGCTTTAAACCCGCATCCAGCCCCGATTTTACGTTTTGCTTTCATGGCGGTAGTTACGCCCCAAGCCACAGCTTTTTCTTTTAAACTAGAATCTTTAGACTTGAACCTATCCCAGGCTCGCTGCTCTAATATATAGTCAGCCTGGTTTCGATCTGTTATAGAGTTACTACGGTCGTATGCAATATCGTGTTCCCTACACGCAGTGTCTAAAGGATTTACACCTTTATCTCCTCGAGCTAATCGTTTTTTTAAATTTGTTCCAGGCCCGCAATATTGATAACCTATAAGAAATATTATTATTACTATTACTGCGTTAATATACGCGTATTTATTCTCACCAGGCACGTGAATCTCTAATGGTAATTTATTTATAAGCGTGTTTATAAGACCAGAACCATTCGTAGTCCTTCTTCGTGCGAGCGACATCGTACACTGATCACGTTCTCAGTGTTACAGAGATATTTAAAAATGAAATTCGTTAAACAAGATATACAACTCACAGTTGAAAACGTGGATCCACCTACTTCGTATAAAAAACAAAGACATGGTGTACTTCTACCTAATACGATTAGAGCACTTATCATGGGCCCTTCAGGTTGTGGGAAAACTAATTTAATATTCACATTATTAACACATATAAACGGTGTACGATTTCACAACGTCTACATATATTCAAAAACATTGGATCAACCAAAATATAAATTATTGAGTGGTATTTTATCAGACATTAACGGAATACAATTATTTACATTCTACGAAAACGAACAAGTTATTGAACCTGAAAAAGCTTTACCAAACTCTGTGTTTATTTTCGATGATATTATAACTGAAAACCAAAAGATTGCAAGAACCTACTTTTCCAGAGGTCGACATAATTTAGTAGATGTGTTCTATTTAGCTCAGAGTTATTCAAAAGTGCCTAAACAACTTCTACGTGATAACGCAAATTTTATTGTTTTATTTAAACAAGATGAGACAAACTTAAAACATGTTTACAACGAACACTGCTCCGGTGATATGTCATATCCCGAGTTTAAAGAATTTTGTACTTCATGTTGGCGTAAAGGGAGATTTGAATTTATCGTCATAAACAAAGACAGTGATCGCGATAACGGTCGATATCGCCACGGATTCGATACGTTTGTTGTTATATAAACTATGGTTTTTTTATAATGCACTTCATTCGCAAATATGTCGTCTAAAGGTGAGGTACTCGGAGAATTGATTAAAGCTAAAGAAAATATTAAACGCAAGTATACTGCATTAAAAAATGGAAAAGCTGATATTCAATCTTTTGTATCACAAACATTTCAGCCAATAATCGAACCTCTAAACAAATTACAAACTGTCAAAGTTGACGAGGGTATGGTTTCCAACACGTCTGACGATCGGTTCACAAATTTACGTAAATTAGAAGACCAGGAAAAAGATAAAGTATATGGCCCGAAAAAAAATTCTTAAGGCATTATCAAATTAGGTACAGAAGTAATACATTTTAGAAACGGTGCAATAATTGTGAGAGAAAACTCTTATCCGATAACACAAGGGCTTGGCGAGTTATTGTTTTCCAGATATCCAATGCAATACACAGCTAATGATTTAATTAGGTACATATAAAGACATACTGATTCAAACTTCAGCACATTTAACACAGGACGGAACAAAAATTAGGAAAGGTGGTACAAAGTATGAACAAATTATTAGCAAGCTTTTCACCACAGGCTCAGGTGTGAAATTACAAACGCATAATCTAGTATATTGGAATGATCTGAACGAGCTGGTCGATAGGTTACGACTTCTTTTAGCCTCGCAAGCTGCTGGTAATACAGGGCTTTCCAACGAAATACTTTCAATTTACGAAGAATTGTATGAAACGGGTTTAATAAAACGAATTCCAAATGTCTAAACGTGATATAGCGAACGAATTACACAAACCAGCGAGAAAAAATTATACAAGGCGAAGAGTTAATGTGTATGGTAAAAACGACTTGTGGCAAATCGATTTAGTGGAAATGATTCCTTATTCTAAAAAGAATAAAGGTTATAAATATATTTTAACTATCATAGATTGCTACACGAAATACTGTTTCGCTGTACCTTTAAAGTCAAAAACGGCTAAAGAAGTTTCAAATGCAATGTCAAAAATACTACTCAAGCGCTCGCCAAAACTATTGCAGACCGATAACGGAAAAGAATTTTACAATGTAACATTCGATGCGCTGATGAAGAAACACAATATACATAAATATTCCACGTATAGTACAACAAAGGCTTGTATCATTGAGCGTCTAAACAGATCAATTAAGGAAAAAATGTATAGAGAATTCACTGCGCGAGGATCACATGAATGGGTTTCTATTCTACAATCTCTGATTAACGAATATAATAATTCAAAACATAGAACAATAGGTATGACTCCTATACAAGCTGATGCAAATCCTTCTTCAGTGAAATTAAAGCAACGTCGAATTAATAATGTAAAAATTAAATTTAACATCGGTGATTGTATTCGGATA